GGCAGAAGCAATGACTACAATACACATCAGTATATATATATATATATATATATATATATATATATATATATATATATATATATATATATATATATATATATATATATATATAAAAAACCAAAGAAAAAACAAGTTTCTTGCGCTCTCTCCTTAATCCCTATGTATAATTAAACAAATGGAGGTCATTTGTCCTGCAAATCTATGTTTGGAGAAACTTTCCCGAACAAAGATGTTTACTAGCCTATGGAATCCCGCAAATCTGTTTAGGTATTAGTGAACTCGTTACTAGGGCTTATTTTTGGGGATGTCTTATTTTCGGGGAAAATAGTTATGTTTAAAGACTGAAGAAAAGGGTGTCAACAAGATGGGGAAGGGGGGGCGGATCTGTTACCTGGCTGATCTGTTACCTGCACACAATGTTTAGCCCTTGATTTGAATCACGTTAAAACAAATCCAATATAGGTCTATGGTGGACAGCCTCTCCTAGCATGTGAGTTGAAAATTCCAGTGCTTTCAAATGTGGTTTGCTTTACGAGGGCAGTTATATTTTTATTTTTAATGGTAGTGATTTGAAGTGGTCATGGTGGTAGGAATATGTATGTGCATTTTTCACCTGTCCGGGCTACTTAATGTTAACATTGTTTTAAATGTCTTTTTATTCAGTGAAAAGATGCACGTTGGGATTCGCAGGTCCCGACTGAAAGGGGCGTAAGACATGCATATCTCTAAAGCAATCAAAATATTTACCAATTGGTGGTAAGAACAAGTAACATTAAAGGATTCAACAAACATAAATCCTGCTATGCCAAGAGAGTGTCTGGCTGGAGTCTAAGGTAATTAGTCTAGCATGTTCAATGTGAGGTTTATTGATACACGTGTTCGTTTTGGGTCAGGAAGTGACCGGGATAAAAAAAAATTCATTTGCAACTACACAATCCGTGTCATTACTAAAAGAACCAGGCCATTTACATATCAAACTGATTTCACCCAAAAGGGCAGAACAAATCCAAAATGCAGGCCGGCTCTCTCCACCAGACATACAGCAACTTCAGATGATTGTTTCAACCTGGTTAGGCATCATTAGTGAGGTATAGCAGATACCCCTCTAAGCACTGTGAGCAAGGGGTCCACACCTGGATTACCCTTTAAACTTGGGGAAAGCAAAAAAAAAAACACAGATGCAGGAGAGTACTAAGAATGGACAACAGCTCAAATAGCTTGCCCTTCGGTGGGTCCCTGCTCCGATCTCAAGCTGGTTTTAGCTCATCTTGTCCCATTACAAAAAGAACAAGGCCATTTGTGTATCAGACTCCACCCAAAAGGCAGAACAGATCCAAACTGCAGGCCGGCACTCTGCACGAGTGATACAGCAACGGAGTGTGTCGCATGACTGATGCCGTTCCCATGGATATCTAGAACCGCTATCGGCATTGGGAGTGTAAGTCAATTAATAGGTAGTTCTAGTTTCTGGAGATGGGGCCTGTAGGTCCCTTGCTTAGGGTGTTAACATCGTTAGGCTTGTATTCATGTGGGTAGCTATCTCCGCTGTAGGGAGTTATGAGATTTCGTTCTGTTTGGGTGTCAGTTAGGTGCTCGTCTTTTTGTCGTGTGTAATCAGTCAGGTTGCTATTGTTTCATCTGTTGCTTCGTTCTGTAGGTGTTTCAGTAAGGGGTGGGAGGGTGAAAAGGGTTAAGGGGGGGTAAAGAGGGGTGGGGGATGTAGAAGGTGGGGGGAAGAGCAGGGGAGGAGGAAGGTTGAGGCGGGCCGCCCGTCGGGGGTTGTTAGATCCCTGTATCCCGGTGGGTGTTCTTAGTTCTGGAAGATGGGGGTTTGTCTTTCCGGTTGCTGGACTCCTGTCTATGGCTGTGTTCGTGTGTTTCCTCCTGTCCGTGTGGATTGTTCTGCCACGTAGGTCAGCCATGACCGCCACCTGTCTACATGTTTCTCTTCGGTTCCGAGAAGGGACGCCTGCACCTATTCCGCCGAGTATATTTCTTCTAGTCTTTCTAATCATTGCCCTGTTGTGGGAATTGTGGTTTGTTTCCAATACAGCGGCACCAGGGCTTTGGCTGCGTTGAGGAGATGCCGGAGGATTGATTTCCTATAGGTTCCGATGGGGGCCGGCGTGGAGTGTAGTAGGGCCAGTTCTTTGTTGAAGTTCCCTTCGTCTCCTAGTATCTAGTTTTTTGTTTTATCTCTGTCCAGAGCGGTGTGATCTGTGGGCAATCCCACCAAATGTGTATTAGCGTTCCTGGACCTGTACCGCACCTCCAGCATGTGTTGGGCACCTCCGGGAATATTTTGTGTAAGATATCTGGTGTCTTGTGCCAGAATGCCAGCACGTTATAGCCTGCCTCCTGGTATCTGGAGCTAGAGGAGCATTTATGATGTAGAATTAGTATTTTTTCCCATTGGGAGTCAGAGAATGTTTTGGCAAACGTCTGTTCCCATAGTCGTCTGTAGGTGTTTTTGGTATCGAGGTGTCCCACCAGGAGGTGTTGATATAGGAGGGAAATGGCCGGGTCCAGGGAGGTTTTGTTGTCGCAGAGGCTTTTGAACCAAGTTAGGTCACGGTGTATAGCGTCCCTATTCGGGAGTGATTGGTAGAAGTGTTTGAGTTGTGTGTATCGAAACGTTTGTATGCTTGTCGGTGGGAGGCCGTCTGTCAGTGCCCCTAGTGGTTTTAGATCCACGTTTAGCAGTGCTTTGTGTATGGGGAGGGTTTCTCCTTCTCCCATAAAGGTCCAGCTTTGTGGTGGCGCCCCTCCGCCGATCTTGGGGTTGTGTTGCACCTGCATCAGTAGGCTCGGGGTGGGGGACAGGTGGGGGGCCCCTCTGATGCTATCCCATGTTCGTAGTGTGTGGGCCATGGTGGAGCCGGGGTCGAGGTTATATTGTCCAGGGTGACCCATTGTTTGTGCCTTTGGTGAACGTGCCAGTCCAGTATTCTCTGTAGGGCGGACGCTTGATGGTATTTGCGTAGGTTGGGGAGAGCCAAGACCCCCCATGCTCTCGGTAGACAGAGCAGGTCGTGGCGGAGGCGTGCTTGGTTCCTGTTCCACAAGAAGCGGATCATGGCGGTTCGTAAGGAGGAGAAGAATGCTGTTGGCAGGGCTAGGGGTACTGTTTGATAGAGGTAGAGTAGTCTGGGTAGTACATTCATCTTTAATATTACTATTCTGCCAAACCAAGAGATATAGGGGTATGACCATTTCGCCAGATCTCGCTGGATTTGCTGGAGGAGGGGGAGGTAGTTTGCCTGGTAATGTGTCCGTGGTGATGACTGTACCAAGGTAGCGCATGCAGGATGGGCACCACCGAAAGGGGAATTGGCGTTTTAGGGCATTAGCTTCCAATGTGGGTACCCTGAGGTTAAGTACTTTGCATTTTGTTGTATTTAGCCTGAAGTCTGACAGTTCTCCATAAGTCTTGAATAGTTCCATTAACTGTTTGAGTGTATCTTCCGGGTGGGTGATGAAGAAAAGGAGGTCATCTGCATAGGCAGCTACTTTGTGCGTTGAGGATTTCCATGTGTAACCGTGGATGTCCACCGTTTGACTGCTTCCAAGAAGGGCTCCAGGGATATTGCAAATAGCATGGGCGAAAGTGGGCAGCCCTGTCTCGTGCCATTCCGTATTGTGAAAGAGTCCGTTTACCCGTACCTTGGCATTTGGGTTGTTATATAGTGCCGTGATCCATTTCATCATGCTTGTGCCGAGGCCTATCTCCCGGAGAGTGCTCGTGAGAAATGGCCAGCTCACATGGGCGAATGCCTTTTCAGCGTCGGTTGATAAAAGGAGATTTTGGCGTGTTAGGTGTTGGATTAACAGGGCTCGTAAGGTACTATCCCTAGCTTCACTCCCGGGGATGAAACCTGTTTGGTCCGGGTGGATAAGTTTCGGTAGCAGGGTGCCTATTCTATTGGACAGTATTTTTATGAGGAGTTTCACGACTATGTTAAGTAGGGATATTGGCCTATAGCTGCCGCAGAGTTTGGGATCTTTCCCCGGCTTCGGGAGGACAGTGATGGTGGCTGCCAGCGATTCCTGGTGGAACTGTGCTTGGGTGAGTTTTGTGATTAGTATGGGCTTCAATTTTTTGTAATATTCAAGTGTGAAGCCATCTGGTCCGGGTGCCCTCCCCATTTTGGCCGCTTTGATCGCTCCCGCTACTTCCTCTTCCGTTATTGGGGCTTCCAAAGGTTCCTGTTTGTCTGTTTGGAGCTTTTTCTTGATGAATTTAATTAGGTATTCCTTTATCCTGCATTGTTTATCTATGGCTTTGGCCTGTTGACCAGGATGTGGGGTATTGTACAGAGTGGAGTAGAAAGTTCAGAACTCTACGGTGATCCTATCTGGGAATTGGGCTACCATACCGGCAGCGGTTCGTATCCTGTGGACTTGGGCCAGTGATTGGGGTCCTTTAAGCATTCTCGCTAGGAGTTTCTCTCCCTTGTTAACATGTTGGTAAAAGAAGGCCTTCGATCGTTGTATGGTTCGATAGTGGCTACGGGTTATGTGTTCTCTCAAGAGTCTACGCGCTTCCAATAATGCAGTGTAGGTCGATTCAAGCTGGGATAGTTTGTGTTGCCTTTCAAGTGTTGTTATTTTGTCTATTAGATCAGACATCTGTTGATGGGATTCTCTATTTTTTGGAAGCCAGTCTCATCAGTGTGCCCCTGATGACGCTCTTATGTGCTTTCCAGATGGTGGTTGCCATGTGCTCGGCCGTCGTGTTCAGATCAAAGTACGTGGTCAATGCCTCGGATACCCTTTCACGTGTCTCCAGGTCTAGGAGGAGGGAATCTTGTAGTCTCCATGTCAATGTGGCGGGTCTTACTTGTGGGGAATCCATCGCCAGTGTGACTGGGCCATGGTCCGACCATAGGGCAGTTCCAATCTCCGTCGATTGCGGTGCCGAAAGCTGCTCTTGTTGCAGGAATAGATAATCGATCCTCGCGCAGTGTTTGTGGAGGGCAGAGTAGTGTGTGTATTCTCTATCAGCAGTCCACCAATCTCAGACCTCGAAGAGCCGAGTGGATGCTCCGTATTGCTCCCTGCGGGACACTACTGTGGCCTGTGGAGGAGTCTAGAAGCGGGTGAAGGAGGACGTTGAGGTCGCATCCTACAATGAATGTTCCTTCTGTGAATGAGGAGAGATTGGAGAGGGTCCTGCGGATATGTTGAGCCTGGTTTTGGTTGGGTACATAAAGTGTTGTGAAGGTGTATTTGCGGTTCTGGACTTCGCCTTTCAAGAAGAGGTAGCGGCCCTGAGGGTCTGTGGATCTATCCAGTTCCTGGAATTGGAGCTTCGCGTTCAGGAGTATCGCCACTCCTGCTTTTCAGGTGGTGGGGTGATTGCTGAAGGCGGCGGTAATGTCTGCTTTTCAGTGATGGTGCAGATCCTTCCCTGAAGGAATGCTGCAGAGATACGGCGCTTGTGCAGGTCCATCAGCAGTTGTGTTCGCCGTTATGGGATATTCAACACCCTGCAGTTCAGGGTGAGGACCCGATATGGGTCTGGGACGTATGCCATGTGGGTGTTAGGTATCGTTGGGAGTCTAGTGTTCGGGGGGAGGTGGGGGAGTTGTGGCCACCCGGCCAATCTCAGTGGTGATTCTCTTGCGTCTGAAGTCATTCCCTCCAGGGAATCTTTTTCCCCTCCCCAACCGGCGGGCCCGGAACAGGGTGAGGTGGGGGAGGGTTAGGTGGGGTGGTGTAGCGGGGAGGGAGGTGGACTGGAGGGAGGAGAGAGGTGGGGGGTGTGTCTCAAGGAAGAGACAGGTGCGTCGCCCAAAGATTGGGGATGAGTATCCTCCTATGTGAGGGCGTTCGTGTGACTGCAGTGGCAGCCGACGACCGGACCTGCCGGCGTTAGCCTACAGTGTCCGGAAGGCGGCTCTCCGCAGGTTAGGGGTGTTCACATGAGTGTGGGGGAGAGGATCCTGACTCTTTGAGCAGTGGCACTTTGGTAAGGTGGACCTGCCCAGTGGTTAGGTTTGTAATAGGAGGCGGGTGTCTGTCAGGTGTCTGTGCACCACCTTGTGTTTTGTTTGATGGTGAATGCGAGGCGTCATTTGTGTTATAGGTCTGAGCGCTTCGTAGAGGTGGGGTCTTGTATGTCTTGCTAGTCCGTTTCCTGGGGGCATCCCAGGGTGCCCGGAGTATTGGATTGTTTCAGCGTCTCTTTTAGTGTCCCGGGAGGCGCCTGGCCTTATTCAGGCGGGTTTTGAGGATGTTTGGGGGTACCACGGTTCCCCCACTGTCATGGTAAGCTATAAGTCGAGTGGCCCAGGCGGGTCTGGGTTCAGCTAGCCGGCATCAAGTCAGTGGGATACGGGGGTGTCGGTATTATAGCAAGGTGTCGCTCCCCTATAGGTTGTGGTTATAGGGGAGTCTACTGGGAGCGTGCAGGGTTTTGTCCTGTTTGGGGATTGTAGGGGAGTCTACTGGGAACGTGCAGGGTTTTGTAATGTTTGTGGCTCCGGGTCGGCATGCCAACCACGGTGGTCTGTCTCATTGTTGTGGGGATGTTCCGCGCTGGGGGGGGGGTGTGTTAGTATCTAGCGTATACAACATATCATGTCAGCAGTTACACAGTTTCGGTTAAGAATTGATCATTGACTTCAATGTCCCCCCTCCCACCTCACCCCAGGGCCTAGTTATTACATTGTTGTTCCCTTCCATTGCAATATAGTGTTGGATGGGTTGTCCGGGTGGTCCATATCCTAGCGTATGGCATGGTTCCCCTGTCTGTGTAGCCATATGCTACGTGTGTGTCCTGCGAGTATGTTTCCTCCACTCCCATAGGGGGAGCCATGCCCATCTCCTTTCAGACTCCACCCTTGAGGTTCGCATGTGTGTTGTAGGGTCCTGCGTGCGTGGATTGCGTAGGGGTTGCGGCTTACGTGAAGGTGTGGGTGCATGCATTGCCCATGCGGCATTCGTGCTTCCCAGGTGAGTGGCTTTTACCTGTGTGCTATTTGCCTATTTCGAAGTGTGTCTTATGTGTCTGCTTAGGCCCTGTGTTTGTGTCTAAGTGTGGAAGGCTGAGGATGGTTTTCCATCTCTGTGGGGCTCATAGTCTGTGGTGGGCTCACCGCCTGGTTGCTCATTTAGGAGTGTGTGTTAGAATGGTAATTATATTCCCTCCCCCCCGCAGAGTCCAAGTCCAAGTTTTTTCTAAGTATATTTTTCCATTCCTGGACAAGAATTACTATGTGAATTATATTTTTAATATATATATATTTTAAGTGTTATGAATGCCAATGAATATTGAATTTATGGTATAACTGCAAATGCTTTAATATGTAATTATGAGAAGCTAAATCTTTAACTTTACTATTATAGTGCATCAATAATCTACAAGCTGTAAAAGAGTCTATTAGTGGAAAGAGATTTCACCAGTGTCTAACTATACGAATGCATGTAAAATTCACATGTGGCTATGGTGACAACTATTTAACCTGTTAACACACTCCAGATGTTAAGACGTGCTACAAAAGGAGTTCTTAAACGGCGTTAGAGCAGTATAGAATGCCCTAGCTGTAAACTGTATACTTACCCTCCTCGCCAGACATAATCTTGTGGACTGCCTGATAACCAAGGCAGTGCCCCGGCAGCCAATTCTGTCAATCTCAGGTATGTGATCGTGATGACAGCGCAATCACATGACTCGGATCGGTGTGATTGACTGCAGGAGGACTGCCTGGGTTATATAGGTATAAATATTAATATTAAAATACACTTAGTATGATATTATAGATATTTGATTCTAAATGTATTTTATACATTATTATATATAATTATTTTAATAATTATATATTGAGAGACCTGCCTTGGAAAATACTAACATTTCTTAATTTCTGACAATTTTTTTTTATAGATTTTATTCATATTAAATTGTTTTATCTCTCTCGCTCTCTCTCTCTATGAAAGTAAACACATAGAAAAGGTGGGCAAGGCTGCCTCTCCAGGTATTTACTCTTTTATTTTTCACATTTTGTGGTGGTATTTGGTATTTTTAGTGTTGTTTGGTCATATCTTCCTTTCACACTTTTAGATTTATTTTTTCAGGCTCATTAGGAGTGTGCCTTGAGGAGCAGCTTTATCCACCTTTTCCATTTATCACTTGTGAGATAGATAGATAGATAGATATATATATATATATATATTTTTTTTTTTTTACACAATCCAGCACACTCGTTCACTTATTCACTAAACAATGATTTTATTAAAGACACGGAGGCTCCTATTATGCTTCTCTTTCTTTAATTCTCCCTCAGCAGCGAAGAGAGATATATGCAAAAGAGAGAAAAAATAACAATAACATTAGCATATGGAACAATGCTCATAGGTATCCACCCCCTTAGTATATAAGGTGTAGCACTCCATGCTTCTTCCTCTTTCTTCGCTGCTCCCTCAGAAGATAAGTACACTCTAATATTTTCTATGGTGTGCTCTGTAGGATAATTATTCTTATTTCAGATTTTCACATTATATTACTGTATGGTATTTTATATAGAGACTGTTTTACTTTAACTGTTGTGGGGATACTTGTTTACCCCCCTTTACTCCGTTTTATTGCTCTGTTGTAGGCTGTGCCTTTATTTTTAGGGTGACTGGGGCACTACTGGTTTGACCCTTGGGGTTAGTTTTTCTTCCCTCCCTCCCGTCCCCTCCGTGGGGGCTCTGTCCCCGGTCACACTCACTGCCGGTTTTCGCCGCCGGGGCTCATCGGAGACACCCGCGGCGCTTCCCGGCACTATTTTGTTCTCGCCGGCCGGACCTACTTCTAGTCCGCGCGGCGATCCCCCTCACCTTGGTTTCGTGTCTCGTTTGCATGCGTGGTTACTCGCGGCGGCCATCTTTTTGGTTTCTCTGGTCGCTGGTTAGGGCGGCGGCCATCTTCTATACCCGTGTATGGCTGTGTTGCCTCTCTCACACGCGGGATTTCAACTTTCTGTGGCTCTACCACTGTTATAGGCTGGATATCCCTCCATCTTCCTATACACTCCACTACTATACCTGGGTTGATCAATCCTGGTGTTTTCTATACCTTCCCTTTTTTTCCAAAATTTTCTATTTATTGTTTTATTACTTTTCTCTCTATTATCCTGGCCATGCAGTCTGATGATAAATCCTCTGGCAAATTTGGCACCTCTATGGCCATGGCTGACCCTGACCTCCAAGTTGACCCTGGGCTCATGGGTTCTGAAGAATTCCAATGCCTCCTGGACTCCACCATGTCCAAATCTATCTCCAAGGCCATATCTTCAGCCATGGGAGCTATGTCCTCTACTATCTCGGACTCCATTACACAGGCACTCAAGCAGGTACAACCTCTCTCTACCCCTGCCTTAACCCATAACCCTCCTGAGGGGTTGCTACCAGGGCGCAAAGCGCTAACCAAACGCAGACATTCACAAGACCCCTCCCCCACGCAGGTTGACCCTGCTCTGATTGACATGCCTCAGGCTGTCCATGATGGCGCGCAACAACCGCGCAATAGAGCTTCTGGGCGAGCTACGGCTACCAAAGACTGGAAAGGGGCTAGAACCCAAGATATACTGTCTGACTCAGACGAGGAGGGGGATGAGGGGTCAGACGTCCCGTACTCAGACCCGTACGAGGACGAGCTCTCAGAGGGTGAAAGCCTCCAGGGAAAACAGTTCCCCCTGACACCTACGCGCACCGCTGCTCATTCGGGGACACCCGAGGCGGAAACGGGCCGCGACCTTAAAGAGGTTCCGCTATTTGACCCTGACAACTTAAGGCACCCACGTTCTGCCGAGTGGGAACCATCCGAACACATCGGCCGATACCTGGCCCTCAGGGTACGTAAGTCCTTTTCTCAAGAGAGCCGTAATAAATTCAGAGCGGAGTGCCCCCGACCCATAATTCCTGATGCTGTGGCAAAAACCCCAGAAGTGGACCCTCAGATAGCCCAGTTTCTAGCCAAAACCGGCTGGAAGGCCAAGAGGGGACTGGACTACTCCCTCCGTAATTGTCAGGACAAGTTCCTAGACACTCTGGGTCCTGTCACTAAACTGTACGAACTGCTGGAAGCAGCTCAGTCGGGTGAGGCACCAGTGGACTTTGAAGTAGCGTTTGGCTGGCTCCAACGCTTGGTCTGCATGATCGGCAATGCCAATACTGCCATGTCAACAGAACGCAGGAAGGCCATCCTGCTATAAATCGAACCCAAGCTGGCTAGTATGACCTCCTCTGAACCAGGGGCCGCGGCTAAGGGTCTGTTGTTTGGCGAATCCTTCGTCAAAGACCTGGGCTCCTATGTCAAAACATTCACGGCTCTGGATAAAGCCCAATCATCCATTAAGAGGGTCTTCCACCAAAAGGTTTTCGGTGTGGCCGGTAGAGGTAGGAGCCGTCTATCCGGCCGCAACCCCCGGGGTTTCTCCAGACCGGGCAGAGGCTCCTCCAACACACAGAGACAAAACCAGGAGTGTTCCTACACTCCGTTCTTCCCTTCTCGAGGAAGATCTTGGAATGCCTGTGGCGGCAGAGGAACAACCC